GTTCTCCCGGGAGGGGGCGGGGCTGGGGCTCGCTGCCGGCGCGGGCGGGCTGCTCCAGATGTTCTCCCGGGAGGGGGCGGGGCCGGCCAGCTCCACCGCGCGGCAGAGGGCGGGGCTGGGGCTGGCTGCCGGCGCGGGCGGGCTGCTCCAGGTGTTCTCCCGGGAGGGGGCGGGGCCGGCTAGCTCCACCGTGCGGCAGGTTGGAAGAAGGAAAGACACGGAAGTCTTGTAAGAAGCTAGGAATTCTCCTCAGCCAGACCTCTGATTTTCAAATTTAGTATAAAAATTTTCAAACATGGGGCCGGCCCTGCGTAGCAGTTAAGTTCAGCGCGCTCCGCTTTGGAGGCCCGGAGTCCCAAGGTTCGGATCCCGGGTTTGGACATACGCACCCCTTATCAAGCTGTGCTGAGGCGGAGTCCCATATAAAGTAGAGGAAGGTGGGCACGGATGTTAGCCCAGGGCCAGTCTTGCTCAGTAAAAAAGAGGATTGGCAACAGGTCTTAGCTCAAGGCTAATCTTCCTCCAAAAAAATATTTTTTTTCAAACATACAGAAAAGCAAAAATAATGACAAGCTGGAGTCAAAGATTAAGGTAGACGCAGTTGCTTCATCTGTTCTTTCCCCTTTTTCCTTACGGAAGTAGACAACCTATTTCATTCATTTTATGATGCATCCCGTTTGCAGTAGACTTTTAACATATCAAAATTGGCTAAGTTAAAAGAAAAGAGATTGATCACACTCAGCGCTGGCAGGGGTTTGGGTAAGAGGCACTCAAGCAGTGGTCGGTTAGGGAGGGAGGCTGCCTAATTCAAGAATTCATATATGGTAGGACACCTGCAAAGATGGCCCCCAACCGTTCCTTCTCTGCCTATACTTGCATGTCATTCCTCTCATGAAGAAGTGGAGTTTACATATGTGGAAGATAAACATACACATGGACAAAGAGAACAGATCAGTGGTTACTGGAGGGGAAGGGGGTTGGGTGTGGGCCTAAGGGGTAAAGTGGCACATTTATCTATGGTGACTGACAAATAATAATGTACACCTGAAATCTCACCATGTTATAAAC